CCATATCATCAACAGACCCTCAAGACATTTGATTCCATAATTTGTTTCTGGCTAAATTCTCCAACAAGGCTATGTCTTCCTCTCTTAGGCTACCATAGTTCACAGTATAGCATAGTCCAGAAGAGGGATATCCTTACAAGCCCCCTTTGGCCTTCACGGATATTTAGGAAACACCAGAATTTACTCACACTAATTCCCTCATCCACTACTTTACCTCTTTCAATTAATGTTAAGTCAAATTTTATAAAATAAACAACTTTTTAAAGATAAACGTTCGGGACTTCCCTAGTGGTCCAAGTGGTAAAGAATCTGCCAGCCAATGCAGGGCACATGGGTTCAATCGCTGGTCCAGGAAGATCCCACATGCCGCAGGGCAACTAAGCCCATGAGCTGTAACTACTGATGCCCAAGCGCCTTAGAGCCTGTGCTCTGCAACAAGAGGAGCCACCACAATGAGAAGCCCAAACACAGCAACTCTGCTCACCCAAACTAGAGAAATCCATGTGCAGCAATGAAAACCCAGTAGTCAAAAATGAATAAATAAAAATTTTTTAAAAGATGAACGTTGATCAAGAATCTTAGAATGGGATTAGGGGTGAGAGGGAGATTTAAGAGGTAGGAGACATATGTATACCTATAGCTGATTCATGTTGATGTATGGCAGAAACCAACACAACGCTGTAAAGCAATTATTCCCTAATGAATATGATCATAACTATATTTTTAAGTACCAAGGAAAAAAGAGTGTAGATTTAATTTTTTTAAATTTCATTATTATGAAATACAATGATTAAAAGTAAAAGACAAATGACAGACCAAGAGAAAATACAGTACAATATATAGAAAAGACAAAGGATCTGTATCAATAATATACAAAGGAAACTTGGCAAATCAATAATAAAAAACAAATAATCCTACAGAAAGTGGACAAAGACTATGAAAAGACAATTCACAAAAAAATACACTAAAATATTCAATAAAACATGAAAAACTGTTCAATCTCATTTTAAAAAGTACAACTTAAAAAGTAAACCTTGTTTCCAATGTTAACCTACATTAAAGAAAATTCAAAAGATGAGTAGTATCCACAGATAGCAAGAATGTAGGGAAAACATGTACCACATTCTGTACTGTACCACACTCTTGATCATAACATAAAGCAGAATGGTCTTTTTATGAAGGATGATTGGTCATCGGAATTTAAATCATGCATTCTGTTGAATCTAGCAATCATACTTATAAAAACGTATCCTACAGGGCTCTTCATAAGCATTCAAGGATTGCCATATTAATGTTTGAAAACTTTGCTATTGCTCAGTAATAATCTAAATATCCATCAAAAGGAACCATTTATCAGAAACATAAACATTACCGATAACATCCAAATAGCTATTAATGCAACACACAATCACGATACTTATCTTTCTGTGTAGTCATGGATATGCGCAACTACCTAAACTGTGTGTAAGGCAGAGTTTTCTCCGTCAGTAATGGTAGAAGACCTCACATGGAAACAACCCTTTCAATTACAACCATTATAAACTCTGGGGAAAAAATATAAAAGAAAAAAATATCTAAAGGCACTGAAGAGCAACAAAGACAGACAGAAACACGAGTCAGACATTTGAAATAAACTTTTCATGTAAAGGTGGGCTCCAGTAAGAAGTACTGCATAGCTAAAACCCTTGAGTCTTATTGGCTGAAGAAACAGAAGACAAAGTTCAGTGCAATGACAACACCTAGAAAGTGAGGAGTAAAATCTTAGAAAGAAGACAGCCACAAAAGGGTGGCCTCATTTGATACATTTAAATTCTGTCTGATCTCTGACTGATCTCCAAACCTATAGGTTTCCAAGAAGACCAACTAAAGCTCAAAGACTGAACAGAGGTTTCAGATTCCGCCCATTGCAGGAGAAAAGAAAAACATAAAACAGAAGCATATTGCAACAAATTCAATAAAGATTTTTATTAATAAAAAAAAAGGTCTACATCAAGAAACTGGCATTTTGATTTCAAATAAATTTCCCTTTAAAAGAAAGAAATCATTATTCTTCAGAGGAACATAACATAATCCAAACTACAACCTATCACTCACAATATAGAGGTTATAATCCAATACATTAGAGACATAAAGAAATGGGAAAGCGTCACCAAGTGAAAAGTCAGTCGACGACGATTAACTTCAGAATAATCTAGATGTTGTTAGATAGGTATTTTTAAAAAGCTATTAAAACTATGCTCATGATGAGTAAACAGACTGAAAATCTCAGCAGAGAATCTAGGGGAATAAAAGGAATATTAGAGAACTAAAAAGTACTAGAAATAAAAAAATTCACTGGACGGTCTTAAAGCAGACTGGAGTTGAGAAAAGCATTTGAAAATAGATTGAAAATTTTTCAGTCTGAAAATGAAGGGAGAAAACTGAACAAAAACATAAAAATCCACAGAGTTCCAGTGACCTGTGGGATAGTTTCTAAAAGTCTCACATAAATTTGATGAAATAAATCAGTTTTCATATTCAAGCTCAGTAAAGTTCAAGCAAGTTACATATAACACTAAAACAAATTTTAACATGTCATTTAGTCAACTGCTAAAAACCAAAGATAAAGAAGAAAATATTGAAAGCAGCCAGAAAGAACATTAGAGTCAGGGAAAACAACAATATGAATGATCACTAACTTCCTTTCAGAAACAAGAGGACCATGAATAACATCTTTAAAGTTATTATAAAGAAGTGATACTTTAAAGTATTTAAAGAAAGAAAAACTGTAAACCCACAATTCTATATCCAGTGAAAATATCCATTAAAAATGAAAGTTAAATAAAGTCATGTTCAAATAAACAGAAACCAAGAGAATGTGTCACCAGGAAACCTGCCCTACAGAAAAACAAAACAAAAAACACGAAAGGAAAATTTAACATGAAAAGAAATCTTCAAGAAGAAATAAAGAAGGGAGGTTCAAGAGGGAGGGGACATGCATATAGCTATGGCTGATTCATGTTGATATATGGCAGAAACCAACACAATATTGTAAAGCAATCATCTTCCAATTAAAAATAAATAAATTAAAAAACAAAAGATATGAAGAATACTGGATATGGTAAATACATGTGTAAATCACCATCTCTTTTGTTTTATCTTGTTTAAAATACATGAGCAAAAATTATAATACTATACTGTCAACTTTATAGCATACATAGATTCAATTCATGTGATAACTAGAGCATAAAAGGGGATGTTAATGGATTACACAACATTTTACATAAGATGGTTCAATATTAACTATAAGTAAACTGTGAAAAGTACATATATACATTGTAATACCTAGAGTAACCTCTAAAACAAATGCTAAGAAGTATAGCTTAAGGCTAATAGATGAATTAAAATTGGATTTTAAAAATTCAATTAACCTGAAAAAATAGGAAAGAAGGAAAAGAACAAAACACAGGATCAACACACCACAAAATGCAAAATGGCAGACCTCAATGCAATCGTAGCAGTAATTTCATTTAAAGTAACTAAACAATGCAGTTAAAATCCAAACCCAACTATCTATAAAAGGCAGCTTGAACTTAAAGGCATAGTTATATTGAAAGAAAAGAGACAGAAAGAGATAGACCATGTGTATAGAAAGCAAAAGAAAGGTGGAGTACCTATTCTAATATCAGAAAAAGGACACAAGAATTAAGTCAATTTTCATATTCAAGCTCAGTGACTCTCAAGCAGGTTAAATACAAAACTAAAACAAATTTAAGCACATGATAGTATTACAGTCAAGAAAAAGACTACCACCAAAGATATAGTGATATTTCACATTACAAAGAGGGCAATTCATGGTTAGGATTTGGGGCTTTCACTGACGGGGCCTGGGTTCAATTTCTGGTCAGGGAACATTCCACAAGCCCTACAGCCAAAACAAAACACAAAGCGGGGCAATTCATTAAGAGGGCATAGCAATTAAAAATACACATGCAAATAAAAACAAAACTTCCAAATACATGGATCAAGACTAATAGAATTAAAGGGAGAAAAAGATAAATCCACAATCACCCATCTCTTAGTAACTGGTAGAAACAGATACACACACAGAAAAAACAAAACTAAACCAGTGGCAACATATCAGAAAAACACCATCAACCACCCTGACCTAACTGACAGATTTACAACCATGGCAGAACACACAATTTTTTCAAATGCATACAGAATATTCATCAAGATAGATCATATGTTGGACCATAAAAAGCAGCACAGCAAATGTATAAAGATTGAGGTAATTCTCTGGCAGCCCAGTGGTTAAGATTCCATGCTTTCACTGCAGAACGTGTGGGTTTGATCCTTGGTAAGGGAACTAAAAGCTTCCATGCCCCGTGGCATGGCCAAAAATAAAGACAAATAAAGATTGAAATCCTATAGAGTATGTTCTTTGACCATCATGGAATTATATCAGAAATAAGTAACAACAAGGTATCTATAAAAGAACTCAATACTTGGAAATGAAACATATTTCTAAGTAACACACAGTCAACAAATAAATCACAGATATTCTGAACTGAATGAAAATGAAAATACAACATATCGAAATTTGTAGGATGCAGCTAAAGCAAGTGCTTAGTAAAAAATTTTGTAACTTTAAATGCTCACATTAGAAAAAGATCTAAAATCAATGACCTATATTTCTAGACACATTTAAAGAAAGAAACAAGATCAAAACAGAAATCAATGACTTTTTTTTAAATAGAGAAAACTAAAGCAAAAGGTTAAGTTCTTTGAAATTATTTACAAAACTGATAAATCCTCAGTAAATCAAGAAAAGAGAGGAAGCACAAATTAGCAATATCAGACAAGCATGCAGCACTTTTTAAGTATATAGCATCAAAATAAGAAATTGTTATTAATAAAGGGTGAAAAAAAAATCAGGAAAGTTCATTTTTTTAGTTCACAATCAAAGCAGAAGCAAAAGTATATTTTATAAGCGGATTATGTTAACTCTAAATATGAACCTGCCACAGTAGAAATCTCTTGTAATTCAGCAAGGGGAGAAGCCGGTTCTGTTTTCATAGTGTTTTCTCCCATTGACTTGCAGTTCAACTCCAAGCCTGCAGGCCCCAATCCATCCCCAATGGAGTGGCAAGTTAGTGTGGATGAGACCTGGCCAGCTTCTAAAGGAGATTTCAACTGACCTAGAAGAAAAAGAAAAAGATTGGGGAACATATACATGTATTTAATCTGAGAACCACAAGTCCCACAAAAGACTGATAAAGTCAGGGTCTTTTTAGAAGAAGCCATTCACTTCACAGCATACAAGAATACATTCACAAGTTCCAGCACACATAGTCAGGGTTGTAAGCATATCAAAGAAAAAGGCTAATAAGAAGCTAAAGTGAAGGGAGGATCTACTGGAAATACTAACAAAAAGGCAGAGGCACTAGAGTAAGATGGCATCAGAAAGACAGAAGAACAAGGCCCTTTAGCACTGTACCCCCAACCCAACATTCACATACACAAGCAAAATCAATCACAGACACACACAAAAGTTTGTCTGTGAATCCTCAGTGAAAAATAATGAGAAACACTGCAGCCTAATCCATATCTTGATTTCAAGACAATCCAAAATTTGTGTAAGGCAGTACACAATGACTGATTTAGACTGGTTCTCACCAGACAGGCAGCAGGTTGGCAAGACCATTCTAGAACAGACTCTGACTCACCTTCTTCTGATTCCTTGGTATTGGGTGAAGTGTTTTGCAAAGGATCAGTATTAACCGTATCAACCAAATCTGATACAACCAAGTCAGGATCTAGAATTTCGTGGGTCCCATTAGTGGACAGCCTGGAAGACCGTCTCCTTGATAAGTCTTTGTCAGTGTTTTCCGAGTAGTTTTTTGACTTTTCCTGGGCTATAAACCATTAAGAGAGCTGTAGTCAAGAGACCAGAAGAAATAACTCTGCTACTACAGATTTCTGGGGCTTCCCACGTGGTGCTAGTGGTAAAGAACCCACCTACCAATGCAGGAGACATAAGAGACGCAGGTTTGATATCTGGGTTGGGAAGATCCCCTGGAGGAGGAAATGGCAACCCACTCCAGTATTCTTGCCTGGAGAATCCAATGGACAGAGGAGCCTGGCAGGCTACAATCCATGGAGTCACAAGAGTCAGACACTACTGAACTGAATTAGCACACATAGATTGCTGGACTGGCTGCCTTGATAAGGGCTTCAAACAGACTCCTGGCATCAGTGATGAAAGGAAATACCTTATCCTGGCTTATAGTTTTAAATAAAGGCACAGTCTTTCTGCCAGGACATAATTTTCCTAATTTAAGGATTTGTGATCTGAAAATATGTGGGCAAGATCACACCCCAATCTCGACAAGTTCTATTTTGGGGCTTTCCAACATAAAAACATACATATTAACAACACCCCAAGGCAATAAGGTTTACAGAGCCTTAAGCCATCACAAGTCCTTTCTGGAACCAATATGGTATTTTTTTAAAAATCAATAAATAGCATTTTTTAAAATAGAAGTACAGTTGATTTACAATGTTGTGATAGTTTCAGGTGTGCATGAATATATAGGTTCATGCACATATATATGCTCTTTTTCAGACTCTTCCACTACACTAAGTTATTTTAAAAGATTGAATATAGCTCCCTGTGCTACAGTAAGATCAATAAATATATAAAGTTTCACTCAGCATATGAAATCCATCACTTCCTAAGCCATTAAATTTCCAGTGGAATCCACATCAGATGGGTATGGAAATGGCATTACTGAAGTCAACATTAACACAGCTTGTGTTTTGGGATTTATTCTCCCTCTAGCAAAACTCCTCTGATCCAAACACATCCCACTCACACTAGCCCCTGTGATCAACAAGCATTAGAATCTATAAGGCCCAGGGGACAACACAGACACAAGGGAGCTAACCCAACAGTTGTCAAGTTCCAGCCACATATACACAAACTGCAGACTCACATGAATTTTTGTCAAGCCGAGGACGTTTTAACGGGACTTCACTTCCTTTTGATATTTTCCGTCTTCTCAATTCCAATGTTATTGGTTGCAAAGTTTGAGAGTTTGAATCCACAGCTACAATGTATATAAAACCACACATACACAAAAAGATACTTAGTTTTTTATTGATCAATTCTCATGCTGTATACAAATAAAACATATATGTGTGTGTACATGTATGTGTATATAAATATATATATATATATACACATACACATATATATACACTCCACACAAATCGTTGCATGATAAATAAACCCTCAAAGGGCATTCTTACTTAAGTTAAAAGGAGTAAAAAGTGAAATGGGTGAGAGATTACTTCCTTATAGGAAATGCAGACTGACTTCTGAATCTTTGTAATCTTTCCTATGACCCAGCTCTAGTCATATAATGATCTCCTGAAACCCACTCCTTAAATATCCTAATATGACTCCTTTAAAATATGAGGGTACACAGCAATCCCACTTCTGGGCATACACACCGAGGAAACCAGATCTGAAAGAGACACGTGTACCCCAATGTTCATCGCAGCACTGTTTATAATAGCCAGGACATGGAAGCAACCTAGAAGCCCATCAGCAGATGAATGGATGAGGAAGCTGTGGTACATATACACCATGGAATATTACTCAGCCATTAAAAAGAATTCATTTGAATCAGTTCTAATGAGATGGATGAAACTGGAGCCCATTATACAGAGCGAAGTAAGCCTGAAAGATAAAGACCATTACAGTATACTAACACATATATATGGAATTTAGAAAGATGGTAACGATAACCCTATGTGCAAAACAGAAAAAGAGACTCCTATGTATAGAACAGACTTGTGGACTCTGAGAGAAGGCGAGGGTGGGATGTTTCAAGAGAACAGCATTGAAACACGTATATTATCTAGGGTGAAACAGTTCACCAGCCCAGGTTGGGTGCATGAGACAAGTGCTCGGGCCTGGTGCACTGGGAAGACCCAGAGGGATTGGGTGGAGAGGGAGGTGGGAGGGGGGACCGGGATGGGGAATACATGTAAAAAAAAAAAAAAAAAAAGATACACTATGGTTGTGATAAAAAAATTAATTAATTAATTAATTAATTAAGAAAAAAAATAAAATATGAGGGTACAAACGCAACAGTAAAATCATTTTTATAACCATCAAATCTTCTCATCAAAATTTGGCTTATCCAATACTCAGGAAATCCACCATGCAGGCTAATTCTTAAAATGTTGTACCCCGGGACTAAAGCTTGATAATTATTTTCAACCTCTACTTGCTGAACTGGTTAGCTTGGCATTGGTCCTAGTTTTGATGGACCAAAGAGAATGTCAACATTTACAACCACTTAAAAACAATTCCAGAAAAATCTCAGGAGACCATGCTATTTGATAGCCAGTATTCCAGACAAGGCTGCTTAACACTAGCAAATCCAGCACTGACATAATTTTAGCAGTGCAGAAGCTAAACCCTTAGATAGTACTCACTTTGTATTTTTTAAACGTAACACTTAAGAAGTTCTCTCCCATCAGGAAAAATAAGAATCCAAAAGGCAGGCAGAAGAAAAAAAAATACAAAAGGAAAACATTGGGAAGCTTGAGGGAAAGGTAGGGCTAGGGGGTCTGATGAAGGTTGAAATAAGGGAAAGCAGCAGCCAGGGGAAAGAACAGAGGGAGGAAGAGGGAAAGAAATGGGAGGGGAAGAAAGAGGGGGAGAGAGAAGGCTCATCTAAGACCAGAAGCTTCAGATCTGCCATGTCAAATGTACAAAGGACAGAGGGTTGAGCTTTGAGGAAGGCAAACCTGATGAGAATGCAGATCTCTTTGGTTCTTTGTGTGTCCAAGCTTCTCAATGTGCCAAAAGTCCTTTCTTCCAAGGGTGGGAACTTAGAGATCACATACATTCCACATTAAATACAAACAATCCTCCCTAAATAGCTCAGATCTGGTTCCAGTAAGGTCTGTATAATCTAGCGAGCTCAAGCCTCCACCATGTCAATGAACTTATTTCAAGCAATTTTTAAAGGGGATTTGAAGTATATGAAATACTGGCAAACCTTCACATTGATACCATATACAAACCGGGGCTAACCACACAAAAATTCAATGTTTCCCAACAACGAATTCTTTTTACAGTAAGAATCATCTGGGAAGGTTGTTAATAATTAGTATTCCCAGATCCTGCTCCAGAGATTCTAACTGGAGAGGAATAGCTCAGGCAAGTGTTAACAGTAAGCTTGGAAAACCCAGTTCTCTACTAAATTTGATCTTACCTTGTGCAACATCCTACACTTAATACAAGCAATAAACTGAATGCCCCATTTTTAATCTGAGTGAAATAAGGTGGTTTCAGAGAAGCAGTCTGCAGACTGGAAAGCAAGTATCCCAGTCCACACCTTCCAGAGAGTACAACCCACTGTAAGAGTAACCAAAGGGGGATCTGTTTCAGAACGCTCAAGTCCCACATACTCACTCTCTTCCCTAAACTATGGTGAGGACACATCAGATTTCTGCCTGTTCACACTGTCTACCTTTCCTTGAATAAGTGCCCTTCTCCCACTTACACAAAAAGGCCTGCTTATTTACATCCCACATCGTAACACAGTACACTGCCCAGAGGTTTAAAATGTCTAGACCTTCTCAACAGGGGTTCCTCATTTGAAAACAGAACAAAGGTTATTTTCTTAATTCTCTCAAGAGTGGTTTATAACTAGTACCACCACCAATTGGCAGAAGTCAATTCGTCATAGGTCACAGATGCCTTGGGCATTAGAGCTTAATTCTCCCTTGGAATCCTACTGAGAAAGCCAGTGAATTTAGACCACTGCTGTCCAATAGAACTATGAGAGCCACAAATGGAAGCCACATAGATAATTTTAAATTTTCAGCTGTCACTCAGAAAAGTTAAAAAAGTGAAAATAACATTAATTTATATTTTATATTTATGTTAAATATATAAAATAGCTACATGTTTATATTAAATAGATGACATATTGAATATAGATTTTTAATTTATATTTATATAAAATATTCTGTAAATATAAACAGTAACATTTACATACATAAATATGAATATTTAATTCATATTTTATTTAACCCAATACACCTAAAAATATTATTTCAATATGTAATCAATATTTTTAAACTATTGAGATATTCTACATTCGTGGGTGGGTTTTTTTTTTTTGTTGCTGTTGTTTAGTACTATTTGAAATCCAGCGTGTGTTTTGTGGGCTTTGCTTTGTTTCTTGTTTATTTGCCAATGTCATGTGGCTTGTGGGATCTTAGTTTCCAGACAAGGGATTGAACCCAGACTCTGAGCAGTGAAAGCACGGAGTCCTAACAACTGGGCAGCCAGGGAATTCCCTCCAGTGTGTGTTTCAGAGTTATGGCACATCCCAATTCAGAATAGCCACATTTCAAGTGCTCAATAACCACGAGTGGCTAGCAGCTACCATACTAGACAGCACAAGTCTAGGCCCCAGTTAGGCATAGGCACAATGCTGAGCTCAAAAACACCACTAAAAGGGGAAGTGCCTTATTTCAACTGGGAAGAAATCAAACCATCATCCATTTTCATACCTTAAAAATTAGGACTAAGATGTAAGAAGGCTGCCTACTGGGAATGACCACTAATACATTTATTTGAAGTAAATAAGGGTTTTTCCACAAAAATTACATATGATGTTGATGTCTGGATTGACAGATAAGACTGGCTTTGCATTCTGCATCATTAAAGGGACAACAAATGGGTTGATGCTATAGTTCCACAGTTTTTTATATTTTGTTTTGGGTTTTTGTTTTTTTATTTTTTTAACTTTTTATTTTGTATTGTGGTACAATCAATTAGGGCTTTCCCAGGTGGCTCAGTGGTAAAGAAATCACCTGCAATGTAGAAGACACGGGTTCAATTCCAGAGTCGGGGAAGATTCCCTGGAGGAGGAAATGGCCACCCACACCAGTATTCATGCCTAGGGAATCCCACAGAGGAGCCTGGGGCTACAGTCCATGGGGTCACAAAGAGTTGGACACAATGTAGTGACTAAACAACAACAATAAACACAGCTGATTAACAACGCTGTGATAGTCTGAAGTGAACAGAGAAGGGATTCAGCCATACATACTGTAGTTCCACAGTTTTGATGAAAATATATTTTATGTCATAGTTTATATTTTTCATTTACCTTTGGCAGCTATTTAGACTTGTAAGAAAAAAAACAGATATCACTTTAAAATGGTAAGCAGTGCTCGCTTCGACAGCACATATACTAAAATTGGAACAATACAGAGATTAGCATGCCCCCTGCGCAAGGATGACACGCAAATTTGTGAAGCAGTCCATATTTTTTTGTAAAGTAATTAGGCTCCAACTAATAAAAATAAATGGAAAAAAATAAAAAATAAAATAAAAAAAATGGTAGGGATTCACAGCTTTTATGTAAAGTACACGTAACCAAGAATATCTGAAGGCCTCTGCCACATAATCATAGACAGTGTTCAGTACAGAGATCCTGGGAGCTTTTCACACCACTCAATCCAGCGAAGGAAATGTTTGGTTTAGGAAGAAATTCAGGGCTTGTTTCTTTCTTGGCTATTCTAGAAGAATTCCAAATTTCAACTTTTTAAAATAATTGTATACCCTTCCCTAAATCCTCTAACCTTGACTCTACCAATTAGCCATCTCAGCTTTTCATTTAGACTGAAAATTACCAATCCATAATCACTCTGCAGAGGGCTCAATTTCAAAGGTAACCCTCCCTTCCCAGGTCCAGCGTTCTTTGTTCCCACCTCCTCCAGAGATGCCCACACCTACTTACCTCTCTTTTTTCCCCTTTCATGTCGCTCATGAAAACACTATTTCCAGATTCCAGGTTCTAGGTAAGCTTACTTGGAAGTGAATCATTTGAATTGGCACAAACAAAAGGCCTTAGCTTACTAGGTTTTATCCTATAAGCCGAAGCATCTAGTGAAGAGCTATCTTTCACCTCAGGAGCCCAGCCAAGAATATGTTTCCCAAATTTATGTTCCTCTGGATATATGCCTCCCATAAAATTCAGCTCCACGGACATGACTTGTTTTCAGGTGACAGGATGACTCAAGGTCAGTCACAAAAACAAAGGGTTGAATAACAAAGTTATAAAGAACCAAAGAGCCACAAAAAGAACACTCTCGCAGTGCACACCTGGGAAACTCACCAGTAGGAGCAATGGAAGGGGGTCGGCCTCGCTTTCTTTTTGGCTCCCTCAAGTTTTCCTGTGGACTCTTCACAATGTCATTTTCAGGTTTCTTATCCACTTGAGCATCTCCAGAATACTCTCTGTCATTTTCTGAAATGTTCTCCTTATCTTCCTTCTCGTTCTTGGGAAGGCTCTTCTCTGACGTTTTCCCCTTTTCAGCACAGATTAACTTTCCTTCTTTATCAGACTGCTTGGCTCGCTTTTCTGTCTTGAAGGCTTTGTCCTCTTTGTCTTTCTTCACAATGGCTGTGGGTTTTCTCTGTTCTTTAAACTTTTCCCGTTTATCAGATGATAGAAGACTTTTGTGTTCTGTTTCTTTAGGCCTAGTATTACCCACAATATTCTAAAATGAGCAAAATAGCGATGAAACACACTTTGTGATTACTTGCAAATAAAAAAATCAGGTGGTTTTTTTTGTAAACTTATGAAGATAAAAGAAATTAAAAGAGGATATATTTCAGGTCACATAATGGAAAGCACCACTGAAAATATCCATCCATATGCTGAGGTTTGAGAACCAGTCCTAAGTTTAAAGAAAATAACAGAGTCATGTTGAATTCCTTCTGAGACAATGCCATCTCCCTTATGATTAACAAGTCACTGGAAAGTAGTTAAAGGGACAGACAACTACCCCAGGGACCTCTTCTGGGAAGCAATCTTTTTGATTTCGATGTTCTAAGAAAATGCCTTCATGCCCTGTCTGTTATCCCAAGTATGACTACACTGGCCCAGGGTCTTTCAGAAGCTGACATCCTATGTAGAGAAGAACCCAATAAACTGGTAACTGGTGGCTGAACAGGAAAGCTGTAAAGATCGTCCAACTCAGTAACATATTGTCTTTGCTTCCTCTACTGGGTAAGGCTGTGCTCAGTCCTACTATGTTCCTGAGCTACTGAGTTTTTGTGCATCAGGAAGAAGTACTACTTCTTGGTTACTTTCCTCCTAAATTACTTTCTTTTAAAATCTCGTTTCCCAGTACACTGTCTACTGTCTCATAATAAAGCCAGCTCTGAAAGCTCTGGGGTCTCCAAAACTACAATTAAGTTTATTTGTGTATGTATCTTCCTTCCAAGACCTCAAGAGAAGAGCAGAGGCCACCACATCAAGCTCATAAGGGACCCCTAGCACCAAGCAAAAACTAGGCACACAGAGCTTCGCCAGGAGCAAGAAGGAGTGTCTAAATATGCAGTGAGTAAAAGTTTAATTTGTCCCAAGGGGAAAAATAATAAATAAGGAGAATCCTTGTGGTTAGAGCCTAGGAGGAAATTTTATTTTTCAAGTCCTCTAAATTGTCTAAAAGCAGCCAGATTTGAGAACAAGCCCTCCTTAGTAACTGCTGGCAGAAATATAAATCACAACCACAACGAAGGGAGGTTGGCAATTTGGGTCAAAAGACTTACAATTCTACTTTTGAACTACAATGAATTCCTAGAAATGAAATTTTCTAATAAAATAATTAGACTTGTGTACTCAGACTTACAAATATCTTTAAATGACCACTAGGAAACTGGTTACACAAAGTTGGTTATATACATATTAGAAACACTACATAGCCATTAAAAGCTATATTCCCATATAGGACTTAGGAACTTAGGAAAACATTATTTTGTTGAAAGAGCAAGTTATAGAACAGTAACGTATGACTCAAATTGGGAAAAGAAATATGTATATACATAAATATCTTTTTAAAAAATACAGAAGGCTATACATCAAAATGTTACGAGCAACTGTATCTAGATGACAGAACTAAACAACTTTTACTTCCAATGTGTTTTTCTGTGCTTTCTAAATTTTCTACAGCAAAGAAATATATTTTTATAAGTACAAAAAAAGATAAATGTCCCTGAAATATAGATTATCAAACCATTTAGGGCAGTAAATGCCTATTTAAAAAAAAAAAAGAAGCCATTACTATATGAAAAAAAAGCTTTAAAAGTTGATAAATATTTTTTTTTAAGTTTTGCTTTGTAAGTGGCCTCACTGAGAAGTCATTTCCAAAACAGTATGTCCTCTTGGGAAAGGAAAACAAATAGGAGCCATGGGCCTGTGCTTGACCACCTCCCAGGTCTGAGATGACAAGAGACACTCAGAGGCAACTGGGAATTGAGAACTGAAGACCCGCAGTCCACACAGGGTGAGGTGCCCATCTCCAAGTCAAGGCCCTATGAGTACTATCAACCAGAGACAGCAGCTGAATGTTATTTGGAGCCCTGTCCTTCCACTTGGGGAGATTCTAGACACAATCTTGCAGCTTTTGACATGTTCTTAAAACAGTCCTCTAAAAAAAAAAAAAAAAAAACAGTCCTCTGTCTAAATGAACTCATTCCACAAACTTAACACAAAAACTGCCAAATTTAAGGCCAAAATAATTTATAGGGTGCTGTGTAGCTCCTGAGATGCCCGAAAAGCAAATGATCAAAGAGAAAACATCTTCAGGGCTAAAGCTTTATAATTTTATCAATTTTCTGAAGAGGAAAACCAGCAAAAGGCAAAAAACACTTTTGAGGCTATCCTTAACAATACCATGTATCATGATGCTTTGAAAATGCTAAATATATATAGGAGAATTTATTAAAGTAAAAGCCTTTTATCATAAAACAACAGGTTCCGACATTACCAAATACTGCCACATCAACCACCCACAGAGATAAATAATAGTAACGATCAGAATCTTTCCCCTCAGCTATTTCATTAAGACACAAATGCAAAATAAACTAAAAGGGGAAAAAATCGTGAAGAAAGTAGGCAACACTTTACAATGTCAAAACTCAGGACCTGTGCTCAGATGTGGATGGTGAAAAGGACAACAGAAAACAAACTCTTCAACTCAGGCACATCTAGCACAAGTGATTGCCAAATCTACGTCACCACCAAGCCATGGTCCTGAGCTAAAAGGCAAAGTCAGATGAGGAGGAGAAAACATCTCTAGGTCTCCTCAAGCACTCAGCAAGTTCCCCAAGAGAGGAAACAGCTCTGGGGGCAGGGCACAGGGAGAGAGAGAAAATAATAATCTCCAGGCATTTTGAAAAAAAGACCTAACAGGTAATGGTACTTAAGTATTGGCACTTCAGAAAAGAAGACTGTATGAAAAGAAAAAGGCAAAGAGAGAGAAACATTCACAATATCTGAAAACTTGTATATTGCTTTTTGGAGAAATCATGTCAGATGAAGGAAAGTGTTTGCCATCATAAACATCAAAGTGTAGCATCTTTGAGAAACAAAACTATAATATTAGCATTATGCATACCACAAAAGCATAAAACCACATTTCTCACCTGATCTTTGGAAAAAGCTTTGACATGAATATGTTTGACAGTCTGAACTACTCCATCATAAAATTTCACAGTGTAAGTACCTAAAATTAAAAAAGATATGATTTTAACTTGTAGTTTTATGAAAGCAACAAAACTTTTCAAAGCATAAACACAAAGGAGCTCCAACCACAATAATAAACCTACAGGAATTAAAAAATTGTTTACGAATCACAATTGGTCTTTCTTATGTCCAAGATAGTAGTACGTTTGCCTTTTTTTCTCTTTATCATTATAGATTTGTTTACCTACACAGATCAAAATCCATCAAAAAAATTCATTTTCATGGTGTTAACACTAAAATTTTTAAAACTTGCACTGAATTTAGACCAAAAGCAAATAGCAGTAAAACAATTAAGAATGTAAAGAAACACCAACAATGAACTACCAGAAAGAGAAATTAAGGGAAAAATCCCATTGATCATTGCTTCAAAAAGAATGAGTCCTAGGAATAAACCTCTTAAAGAGCTACAGGACCTGTACTTGAAAAACTATAAGACACTGACGTAAGAAACTGAAGATGACACAGATGGAAAGATATACTGTATTATATTCTTAGTGGGAATGTAAATTGGTGCAGCCACTGTGGAAAACAGTATGGAGGTTTCTCAAAAAACTAAAAATAGAACTACCATATAACCCAGCAATTCCACTCTTTGATATACATCCTAAACAAAAACAAAAACATTAAGATACACGCACCCAAATGTTCACAGCAGCATTATTTACAATTGCCAAGATATGGAAGCAACCTAAGTGTCATCAACAGATGAATGGATGGAGATGATGGATGGATATATGTATATCTGGACACACACACACACACACACACACTGGAACACTACTCAGCTATTAAAAAAAAAAAAAAAAGAAATTTTGCCAATTACAGCGACATGGATGGACCTGAAGGAGGATATTGTGCTAAGTGAAATAAATCAGACAGACAAAGATGAATATTATACAATCTCACTTATAAGCAGAATCTAAAAAACACAAGTTAGTGAATATAACAAAAAAAGAAACATTCACAGACACAGAGAACAAACTAGTGGTTACCAGTGAGGAGAGGGAAACAGGGAGGGGCAAGATAGGGGTAGAGGATTAAGAAGTACAAATTATTATAGATAACGTACAAGGATATACTATACAACACAGGGAATATAGCCAATACTTCATAACAATTATAAGTGGAGTATAACATTTAAGAATTGTGAATCAACACAAAAATACACACACAAAAAAAGAATTGTGAATCAGTGCTTGCTTAGGCAGCACATAAACTAAAATTGGAACAATACAGAGAAGCTTAGCATGGCCCCTGTGCAAGGATGACACACAAATTCGTGAAGCGTTCCATATTTTGGGGGGAACACATGTAAATCCAAGGCTAATTCATGTCAATGTATGGCAAAAACCACTATAATATTGTAAAGTAATTAGCCTCCAACTAATAAAAACAAATGAAAAAAAACTAAAAAAAAAAAGAATGAGAATCACTGTATTGTACACTTGTAACAATATAATACTTTATATCAACAATATTTTCATTTTTTTTAAAAAAGAGATGTAAGGAAAATGCAGGTTTATTGCTTGGTGAATTATTGCTTATTATTTGATCTTTATTTTCTGAGCTGAGAAATAGTAATATCCTTTAAACTTCAAAAGAAATAGGACCACCTGCTAAAGATATGCTTTTAGAGGTCATAATAATCTCAAAATCCATATGAATTACCTGCATGTTACTATGTTTAAAAACAGAGACTAGGCCAAAGCACTAAATGGTGCCTGCTACAGTTAGTTTTATTCCTTTTTTTTTTTTAATCTAACAAAAATCACTCTGCTAAAAAATTGAAACTGGTCATCCAAATAATCCTGTCCAAATAAAGCATTCAGCTACAAAAGTTCTCATTAGTTCCACCCAAACCAACATTCTCAAACTTTTGCATTTTAGAACCCACCCATGTCTCTCTTTTGCTGGTTCCAGGAAGTTAATTAAAAAAAAAAAAAATCACAGTTAATCTTGTCAAGATTATCAATGAACCACTGGTAATCATGTAATGGTTTACCACTGGTAAACATGGTTAGTTTTCAGAACTAATTTACGACTCAATATGGAAGGAAAAAATAAATCTCAAGGGTTGGGAGCAGAATAATGCCAACAGTGAAGTTAAGGTCACCTGGCTGGCTGCCTCCATCTTATACACTCTCCTCCCCTCACCTACCCTTCTCCAGTCCTAAACAGGGCCCTGTGAATGGCTACCACCTATACTGAAACCCTTCCTCTTCAGTGGGTCAAAGTCCAATGCAATATGAGCCCAATTATTTTCCAAACCTTATTTCAAATTACTAGCATACAATACCCGACAACTCAAAGTGACTAGCTACTTGCCACCCACTGAAACTGTCTTGGGACATTTCCACCTTCACATCTTTATCAAAGTGTTTTCCGGCCTGGAATGTGCCACTCATCCTTAAGTGCTCAGCTCAAAAGACTACAACATTCCTGTAAAACCTTCCTGACTTCCCTGGTCCTGGAGATTTATCCCTCCTCTGTAACTTCTCACTCATTTGGATCCTGGTCTGCAGAGCCTCACACTTAGGTGCCTTCACACAGAAGGCAGATGCCAAATCAAAGGCAGGCTCTCCAAGGATAGAGGCCACATCTAACACCAGTTTCTCACACAGCGCCTGGCTCACTGTACTCCAGTGTTTCTCAAAGTGTGGTTCCCGGGACCTGTAGCATCAACAACCCCATGAACCTATCAGAAATGCAAGTTAGCAGCCCTACCCTTGATATACTGAATAATAACTTTGGGAGCGTGAAACAAAAATGTGTGTTTTAATAAGGACTTCAGGTGATTCTGGTGCACACTGAAGTCTGAGAACTACTGTCGTAAACAATTAGCAATTACCTACTGATTTTACTCCTGGCAGTTACAAAAGTGATTATTTGACGAATGGATAAGGAAGCTATGGTACATACACACAATGGAATATTACTCAGCCATTAAAAAGAATTCATTTGAATCAGTTCTAATGAGATGGATGAAACTGGAGCCCATTATACAGAGTGAAGTAAGCCAGAAAGATAAAGACCAATACAGTATACTAATGCATATATATGGAATTTAAAAAGATGGTAACGATAACCCAATATGCAAAACAGAAAAAGAGACATAGATGTACAGTACAGACTTTGGGGCTCTGTGGGAGAAGGCGAGGGTGGGATGTTCAGAGAGAATAGCATTGAAACAAGTATACTATCAAAGGTGAAACAGACCACCAGCCCTGGTTGGATGCATGAGACAAGTGCTCAGGGCTGGTGCACTGGGAAGACCCAGACGGATGGGATGGGGAGGGAGGCGGGAGGGGGGATCAGGATGGGGAACACATGTAAATCCATGGCTGATTCATGTCAGTGTAAGGCAAAAACCACTACAATATTGTAAAGTAATTAGCCTCCAACTAATAAAAATAAATGAAAAAAAAATTTTTTTTAGATACAAGGATATATAGTTGGTTGGTTAAAGCAAGCAATGAGATGACAGGCTATCAGCAATTACTGATGAGTACTTAACAACAAAGGCCTGGGTTCCTGTCTTCCTGCCTCTATTGTGAGGGCGTTGGCAAACAAAGAAGCAATGCTGTGGGACCCTAAACAGACCCTTTTCAAAGCAAAGCCCTGGTCAGTCTAAGGATTGCAGTTTGGGGGTGATGACCTTAAAAAAAACCCAATTCTTTAGAAATCTTAAATATCAAGCATGCCAACAGGCCATCCAAGACTATACTTTCAATGATCTTAATCAACAAAGCTCAACATCAGTTACATCAAAATGGAAACTCTCCATTTCTATAGACATTTCAAATCGACAGGACAACTTAAAAAGAGTGCTTACAACTTAAACGCAAAAGTCCAAAATTTTCAGCTACTTGAGGTCAATTTTGAAGCTTACTCCTGACGGCAGGCTCAGATGGAGGCCTCAGAGGAACAACAGAGCTAGAGGCAGAACCCAAGCCTGTCTGCTGACTTCTCTCCCAACCTGACATACCTATTCCCCAAGTCCCTCAGCCTCAACTCCAAACTACAGACCCAGAGCACCAGTGGCCCCTCTGAAATGACCCAAACTATGGCCAAAGGGCCTAGGGAACCACTGCTGTTAGATAACAATATCCCAGCCCTGACCCTTTTTACTTTCAAAGAACTACAAGGGATCATCTTGAAACTTTCTCCCTTGATCATGCACACAGCTAACTTGGGCTTCAATAACTCAGAGGAAACACAGCCCGCAAACAACAGTGGCCTAGACCTGGAGAGAGGCTCTAAGTCGACTTTAACAGTTTCGTGCATAACTAAAAGAACATCTTCCCAAAAAAAAAACACAAAAATAAATAAATAAATAAATAAAAGAACGTCTTCCCAAGGAATCCTCCAAAGGGTGGCAGGCAAGGATCTCTCCCACGGCCACAAACAACATTAACAGAACACATGTAAATGACAGGATTCAAAACGAGAACATTAGTGACACAAAGGCGACCTGCCTCAGGCTCCCTTAAGTTCCAGTCTTACCAGATGAAACCAAGCTTCCTGGCCTTGCTCTCTGTGGGTTAAGAACCCAGCATATCAGACAACCTTATAAAAGTTAGTAACAGCAGAAGGGATGTAAGAACAAAACTTGAGACCGGTAGCAAGCTCATCTTCCCCAGGACCAAGGAAAGAGGGATACACAGGTGACTCTGGAAAGGACAGATTTACGTTGCTCCTGAAATCTACCATAACTGTGACTTCAGGGCCCTTTTACTATCCCGCTCATTCTTCAGGAGTCATAGAATTCCATAATATCATGGAGAGGAGTTTTCAAACATGGTTTCTCAAAGTCTTGAGGTTCCCACAGATGTGCCTCAAAGGTGGGCTGGGGGATGGGACAGGTCTATGTCTGCAGGCAAACCTCTCCCTAATCCTTCTCCTCTTAGCAATTTTACATAATGGGCTTAGGTTCTGCAGCCAACAATTTCCCAAATTGCTCCTCTATTACAATCCCTTCCTCCATTTACAACTGCTCAGATGAATTCAGAGCAAGGAGAGTGAACTGCCTATGATCACCACGCAGGGACTGGGACAGAGCCTGTCTCTACTAATCAGGGATCTCAAGACACCAGCGGGCTCCAGGAAGCGCAGACCATCTATTCCCACCCTAACGTATCAGGTGCACATACACGTGTACACACACACACACTCCCCCATCGGGCACCTGGCCCTGACTGAAACTCCTGCTGTTTAAGGAAAACCCTGCTCCTGAGAAGCAGGCTGACGCCATGGCCACTGCAGTTTCAGGAACCTTGGAGCCCCGCAGACCTCCATTCAGACTTCCGTGCTACCACTGACATATGTGCTCTGTAACCTCGAGCAGTTTCTCCTGTGAGCTGACTTCCTCATCTGAAAAATGAGAATGGGGTTGATGGCAACAATCTTTCCACATTTGTATAAAGAGGAAATGAGCTCAGATATGGAAACTGCTTAGCAAAGGGACTGTCACAGAGCAAGGGAACAGTTGCTGTTGTTTAGCCGCTAAGTTGTGTCCGACTCTTAGAGATGCCATGAACTGTAGCTCGCCAGACTCCTCTGTCCATTGGATTTCCCAGGCAAGAATACTGGAGTGGGTTGCCATTTCCTTCTCCAGGGGCTCTTCCTGACCCAGGGAGTGAACCCACGTCTCCTGCACTGGCAGGTGGATTCTTTAACGCTGAGCCACCAGGGAAGCCAAGAGATCAATACGTGGTTCTAATTACCATCATCTACCAAGTCACTTTAAAAGGGAACCCCCCTCACCCCCCCACAGATAGTAAGAACCAAGATAGCACCTGCATGTATGGGCCTAAATTGTCTTTCTATCTCTAGTCAAAGCTGTTCATAGTCCCAGAGTTCCCACATTTCAAACGCAGGATCAGTTATAGCAAGAAGAAAACAAAAAATAGTAACTGTTTCAGCCAGAGACTCAAGAAATAAGACCATTTCCATAGAATCTCCTGGTAAAATAAAGACTTAGGCACTAAACAAAGAGACTGAACTGGGGGGCACAGGACTTAAGAATTATCCATAACTTTAAGGAAGAGGGACCTGATACCCCTGCCTGAGCACTCAAGTTAAAGAACCACAGATCAACAGGAAAGAATGATTCCTCATTTTGTTGTAAATGTGAATCTACTTTCAGTTTCCTCTAGAGAGACTGCCTTGCAGAGCAGAAGGGTACAAACCCCGACAGGCAAGTGGCTCTAACACCTCCTTAAAAAAGGGGAGCTGGGCGGAGCTGAGGTCAACTCACCAGAGGAGAGAAGGCTTCCAAACAAAGACTTCCTGGAAGCAAAATCCCTTCCTTCACTCCAACACAGACCGAGGATCTAACAAGGCTACCAGGTGTGGCTGCCTTCACAGAGAATGATGCTTAACTGCCACTGCCAAAGACTCATGCCAGGTGAAAAGGGCTAAATAACACGGCACTGTTTTCCCAAGTTTCCAATTGCTAAACGACTCTCTTAAGAAACTCTAAAAGTTGCTCACTAGTTGTGAGTCAATCATGTGGGACACCCAATGCCAGCAGCCAGGGCTCTCCACTCTGGCTACAGCCCCTGCCCACCAGACTGCCCAGTCAATGCTTGGCCTCGGCAAAACCACCAAGGAGGTTATGAGTGGCAGAAAGATCAGACCAAGCCTTCCCAAGATGAGTCTACAGGGAGTGACTTCACTGTATTCCCAGCCTCCTCCCAGCAGCACCAGAAAGACAGAATAACTTTACAGGAAATAAAGGGAGCACCTCGTCTGCAGAGGTTCTGCCACCATTAAGCTCTGGTGGCCCCTGCTACAGACAGAACTGAGGCAGGACAGAAAACACCAGGGAAAGTGTGAAATTAGAGTCCAGTATCGTCCTTCTCAATCACACAAGTGAATAGTAGAATAAATCATGACGTAGAAACTCTGCCAGTTCCCCTGGATTAAATCTAACCCAAAGGCAGCACCTAAGAGTCATTATTTCATCTCAAAATCAGGCACCGACCTGAGCTCCCACAAAGGAAGTCCCACACGCTTTACCTCTCAGGCCTCAGTGCAGCACTAACACCACACAGCTGGCTGCCTTCCCTTTCAGGATTTCCTCTTCCCCTGCCCTCCCCCTTCTCCTCCCTCTTCCAGTTAATCTCAAGAACCAGAGAGGATGGTGGCATAATGCAGGATTTCAGACCCAAAAATTCTGGGAAAAACAGGTTCTCCCCCAAATATCCACTCATTTTCAATGTCCTCCAATTAACTAAAACTTACTGAACAGAATCTGAAGCTTATCAAATATATTAGGGTGGCAACTGACCACTGTGGGAGCAACCATTACCTCAAGACTCTCCCTCCTATCATTTTAGCTCATGCAGGAAAATAAACTTTAAAGATTTTTAAAAACAACTTGCAAAGCAAATAAACTAACTTTAAAAGGACTTCTCTGGCAGTCTAGTGGTTAGGACTGGGGAAAGTAAGATCCCATCCTGCATGCTGTGCGATGCAGCCAAAATGTTTTCAAGAATTCAGACCCAACTGACACACAAAAAAAACGAACTGCAAATAAGGGTCCCTCCTCACACCTCCCCTTATGATTTATTTGCACCATTCTGCACCTGTCATACCTCCCCCAGTTGCTCTATTTCAACACCTACTTCATTGTGCCTTGAACAAGTTCTTTATTCTTTTTTAATCCATGATGTTAAGGCCGGGGCTCTACAGATATTAGATGCAAATAGTAGGTTCCTAAACCTTTAATGCTTTCACCTAGACCCTCACACCCTACCTCTCTACAAGACAGCTCCCAGGACTCCCCAAATCCCTCCTTCCTCAGTGTGCCCTTCCTTTCCCATTCTTTTAATCCAACCCTCTTCTCACTTCTGTCCTCCATGTGACTCTGGGACATCACTGGAACAAAAGAGAAACGTTGCTTCCTTTCTGCTACCTGCTTTATCGATAATTACCCGTGTTTCTATCCACAATCTTCATTTGATCTAAGGAGCAGCCATTTCCCCAAAAGGGCACACCTCCCCTAGGGGGAACATCCAACTTGATCAGCATAAATCAACCTAACAGACTTTCAGAAAGACATCTATGTACACTAACAAACATGTGTTTCATATCATATAATTTAAATCCAATAAGAGCAGAAAAAATCACTAATCTAAAAAATAAGATTCTAAAAAATAAACTTTTTCTTTTACTGTGACTTTTTTTACTGAGGTACAGTTGCTTAACAATATTATATTGGTTTCAGGTGTGCAATTTTAGTAATTGACAATTCCTATAGATTATACTCCATTTTAAGTTATTATAAAATATTGGCTATATTGCCTATGCTGCACAATATATCCTTGTAGCTTTTTTTTTTCCATATAAATGCGATCATTCACCATTTTAATATAAATGGATCTATAAACACACAGATTTATAATCTATTTAATGACTGTTTGATATAATAAACTATGCCTTTTACAAAAAGGATCTGAAGCAGTTTAATAACATGTCACTTGGATACTATCCATTTATTAAAATTAAAGTAATACATATGAAAAGTAATATGAGACTTTATTTTAAACACAGGCTTATAAAATGTAACTTGGGGAAAACAAGGGGCTATCCAAAAAGACTTAACCATAAATGACAGGATCAGTAACTGCTTAAAGAACTTATAAGATACAGCCTTGCTCTGGAGGCCTGTGGTAAGAGGACTATGTTTTCAAGGATACATCTGTCACCTCCTCCACCCAGTCTAATAACTGCCAGGACTGGTGAATACCGCAACAGAGGAACTAAAAGTCCTGCTATATGCAAATGCACAGTTCATTTTTGACCATTTCAAACCATTCTGAGACGAAGCTTCTTGTTTACCCCAAGGTCCAGCATTTAGCAAAGTGCTAAATAAATACTTGAATAACTTCATTGAATGAAGTCAATCTAGCCTTTCACCCCTAACAGTGGTATTAAGAGGTCCATTTGCCATAAACATTCACTGCAGAGATCATGGACATACCACAAACATCTCAGTAGAAAATGCATAAAAAAGGTATCACTTGAACCCTGCCAAGTCTGTTCTGTGTGTCTGGATGCCGACCGCACATACCATGTTCATAACCCTCCTCTTCCCTTGCTTCTGTATTCACAAAATGAGCCTCTTTGGGTTGTGTCCCCCATTTTGATTTCTCACATGTTCTGAACTCTGGCAAAGGTATCCCAACTCAGAGCTCTAAACCCCAGTACCCCAACTTCAACTAGCAATTCTGGTATCACACACCACTCTCAATCACCTGGCATCCACAAAATACGTTCTGTAAGAAATGTTTGTTGTCTGCTTGACTTCTAGACTGTTAACAAATAACTAAAAGGAATATTAGGGACTTATTTCTTCAATTATATTAGGAACTCCTAGATAGCAAGAACCTGCAAACTTCCCAGCAGAGGGACAGATGAACCATGACTGTTTCAGAAAACAATGACTAAAATTTAGAAGGCAAAGAACCAAACTCCCCTCTTTAACCTAGCTTTCTCTCCATTTATAATTTCTTCCTAACTCCTGACATAGTAATTAACTTAAAGAAAGAGGATTCCAAGGTAATAAATACATACTAAAAATACACCATCAAATTCAAATATTATAAACTGACTCCTAAGTTAAGAGTAAAACTCAAATGCCTTACCATCCTTGTTAACAGCAGTGACTTTGGCTGGGTAAAAACGACAATCAGACCAGCAAGCAAGGACTTGCTCATTTATTTGAAATTCCTAAAAAATATTAAAAAACAAAAAAAAGGTCCTGTTACGAATCCAATTTCATAGGACATACATGGTAACCAAATTCATAAGACAGGCTGAAATTGACAAGGGCAGGTAGGGGAGATGGTTACTGGGATGAAGATGTTTCTGCTGTTCAACACTGGGAGTCAAAACAAAAGGGCTGGACACAGCCTTTTCCCATTTAAGGAGTTCTGGATAGAAAAGGCACAGCACTGATGATAATTCTATCTTGTCCCTGAAAGTGCATCTAACAGCCCAGGACCACCAGGGAACACAAGTACACAGCTGGAAGGAGAGAGGCTGTTTCATCTCGAGGCAAACAGCATTCATGCCACCTAATGCCATCCACATTTTTAGAGGGTCTTTGGACAAAGGAGGCACTCCTTCACCATTAATATTTCATACTGCTTTCCCAGCACACAGTTTGCATTGAAACATTTTGTAGAATGAATACCCAGCAGCCGAACCGGGCAACAGTGAACAATCTTGAACTGGGAGGGGGGAGAAGGGGGAAAAGCTAGCAAGAGTTCAAGTTCCATGGTCACGGTTAAAGTGGAAAACAGAATTCAGGGCTGAGTCAGCTCCAAAGGCAGCATGATTTCTACAGATGTCTCAATTCCTGTTTAAAAAACTAAAAACAAATACTTTGTCCTTCATTTTGAAGTCATAAAAGTGCCAAACATAGTGATGAAATTTAAAAAACAGGAATCCAGTCAATTCCAAGATTTTCAAGGGTTTAAAAAAAAAAAAGCTAGCATAATGCTCCACATGGAATGACTGACTAATGACCAGATAGCAAATGAGCTTAGTAAACAATCTAAAGGGACACAGCAGTATAAAAGAGAGAGATCAAGTTCCCATTCATCATCAGTACAGTCTCAACCAAATTAGTTTATGAGCTGTCACGTCAATCACGTCATACAAACAGATGACAACTGAGATTCTTCAACAACCCCAAGAGGCCGTGGAGATCTCAAGGTTGCACTCCAAGCCTAAATAAGGACGGTCCCCAGCTGCTACAAGCTTTTACACTAAACATCAAAGACTCAGCCCAATAGCTAAGCCTGCTCATCACTGAACTGCCCGGATTTGTTACTCACAGATGATCCCTCCTCTTCATGCAAGCCCTCTTTCCTCAGCTGTATTTTCTCTAAAGGACGTAAATAAGGACTGTCCCAGCAGAACCACTCATCATAACGATGGTTCCAACGCTTGAAATGGATGAGTACTTTTCCTTCTTCGTAATCAATATCTTCTATGTGAGCTGGATACCTGAGTCAGGAAAGAAAAAAAAAATTGAAATCCCCTTAAATATCCACCTAAAATAATCAAAATGATACTTTTCTAAACCTCTTACCAAAGAAGTAGATCTCAAAGTACTAAATAAAGCCTATCATTTAGCAGTTCTCTGTCATTGTGCCAAATCGAAAATCATGGAGGCTAACAGACTTGGGATTCATATCCCATCCTGGATATTCCTTAAACTGTGATTAAATTAGCCTTTCAGAGCCTGAGTTCTTTCATGTAAAGCGGAGGAAGGATACACTGTGTTGCAGTGTGAGTAAAACAAGATGACACATACACAGACCTGAGCACACAAGAGGCAGGAAGCGAACAATTAACAGCTAGATTGTATTTTACAGGTGTCAAAAAATTAGAATGACCAGGAAGCCCAGACTGTGTTAGTCTCAATTTTAAGAATTTTGTAATCTATGTATTGGATATCATGCAGTTGTTAAGAAAAGAAGATGGCTCTATGTCATGATATGGAAAGATCTTCCAAGAAAAACCATTAAATGCAAAGAGTGAGGTGCAAAAACACTGTGTATGGTAAGTAAACTACTGCTTTTTTTTTTAACAAGACAAAAAAGAATATACGTATTCAAACATGCTTAGATATGCATAAAACATCTGGAAGAATATATAAGAAACTAACACTGGTTACTTGTAAAAGTGTGGTCAGTTCAGTAGATGGGCTCTTTCAATCTCCAATCACTCTTCTTCTAGACTGAGAGTTACCAAATAGACTGAGAGTAAACCAACAACTACATTTGCTTGACTCACTTGAAACTGGCAATCAGAGTCATGGAGATCTGTGGGTTTGGAAGCAACTGTCAAGACAAGAGCCAGGACTGCTCAAACTTTTATGCAATGCAAATCATCAGGGGTTCTTGTTAAATGCAGATTCTGATTCAGTAGGTGGAGCTAAATAAGGCCTTAAAAGCTTTAAACAAGCTCCCAGGTAATACAGACATGCTGGTCTATAGCAACAAGGATCTAATGTCTAGTCACTGACTTCTTGAGTGTCAAGTAGCAATGGTGGGGTGGGGGTGGCAGTAGCAGTAGTGACTTCCCAACCTCCAGTTCACACTCCAGGGGTGAGTCCTTCAAATGTAAACTCTAAGGCCTGTCCCCTTGAGTCCCACTCCTCCAAGTTTTCCGACAATTTTCTAAGAACCCAATTACTTGTGTTAAATCCTTTTGTGGTTCAAGTACCCAGGATGGTTTCTGTTTCCAGCGTATAAACCTGACTGATACAAGAGGGGTATCAAGGGAATGGGGCAGGGAGGGGCAAAAGTGGGAAGGAGACCTTTTGCAATACACCTTATAATACTTTCTCATTTTTCAACCATAAAATGTATTGCTCATTCCAAAAATAAGTAAATGATTAAAAATAAAGAAAAACATGCAATTGTTCTGTATTGACATCTGTATTGACCAGAATGCTATTCTACATTGAGAAAGTTTCGATTCTACCAATTGGCATTTTCTCCCTACAACTTGGATTTGCCCCATTACCTTCCTTTCTTACATCTAACACTCAATACCCTACTGTCCTAATAAGTATGTGCTACCTAAACGAACAGGCCTGCTTCCATTGTGTCCTCTTCAACCCTACACTAGTATCCACTAAGACAGTTTACTTGGAGTAAACCAAAGCACAGTAGGATGCAGATACTGGGCATTCAGTGAACATCCAGGAAATGAATTCCATTCTCCCTATTCTTCCCAAAGGTTGGGTGTCCCATCAATTCTTCAATCCCAAGGCTCACTGACTCCAGCTACCCACCCCAAGTTTAGTCACTCTCCAGCTTCAGGCCCCAATTACTTTATGCGGGTATTTCTCACACAGGACTGACAGGGTATGCTTTTCAAAATTCCTAATTGTATTATACATACATTAATTGCTCAAGAAATATTAATAAAAGGAATAAACAGCCCTGAAACTAGTCTCCCTACTCCAATCCAGCTGACACGCAGCTGCCATAAATACAAGCTATCTTGACAACAGACTAGCTAATCAGAGGGCTGGTGAACTGAGTAGTACACTGGTAGGAGAGAAAAAAGCTTCCCGAAGTCTATCCCTCCCTATAAAATGGAGAGAAGGATATGGATATGTCAGCTGTATTCCTCTTGATCTCTCAGTCAGTCAGCCTACCACAGATTAGTAAGCCTCCGTAACTCAGTCATATTCAAAGGCCTTTCTTTACTGGTTTACTATCTTGAGCAATAGTTAGCAAACAGGTATTTGGACCAACACACAGAATTAATTTTTCATAGAACCAAATTTATTTTATAGAATTTTCCTTTATACTAATATCACATTCTTTCTAACTTTTCAGTGCTTAAACACACTTTTCAAATTAAAAAGATGGTAACTGTTTTTAATCCTTACTAGTATTACGCAGTATTGCAAAGAAAACGGCAGTGTACTGATTTTTAAAGATCTCTAAGAAAAGTGGGGGGAAAAAAACAACTCAAGATGCAAAATGGTACTGAATGCACTACCATTCGTTTGGGGGAGTGGAGAGAGCCAATACATTCATACCTGTTTTTTAAATGCATGGCTATCTCTGGAAGGATGATCAAGCAGCCCGATTTGCCTCTTGGGAGGGGAACTAGATAGTTGAGGAACTGGAGAGGAAGTATGAAACTTATTTTATTCAGTGTATATCCTTTTGTTTTGAATGTTGCACCATGAGCATGTATTAAATATAAAATATATAATTAGATATTTGTTTTAAATGTTCTTATTTGGCAAAATAAGAAGCTGGCACTGTAGGACAACTTCAAATTCTTTTGAATTTGCACTTGATCAGTGCCTTCTGAAAGTCTGGTAAGGTTGGATCCATAGAATTAACTGCAAAACCCTAGGAGAGCAACTCCACTGTACACAGATTATGAAAGACCTCGGGGCCCTTGGCTAGCCAAAAGCTACTTCCTTGATCAAAAAACTTCACAGGGCATAGGCAGCTCACTGTCTACAGACTACACAAATCTCTCCAGGTGGATCAAGAATAACCCAGGGGTCAGTAAGTCTTCCTAAGGAGAAGGTGGTTCTCTCTACTTCTCTAAAGCGTGACAAGGATGAAAGTCACTCATAGTGAACATAGTCACTCATAGTGCACTCAACTGCAATCCAGAGAAGAGAGAGGCAGTTGATCTTAGGGATCAATCTGGTTAAGACCTGGTGGGTCACAATTACACAGCTGCCTTGGGGACAGCTCAGATTCATCTGTCAACAAATCTTATTAAGTGACTTTGATCTGGCCAGTCAATTTCAGGTCTCAGAAGATTATAAAATGGATGTGCTTCTGGTTTCTGTCTTTAAGAAGAACCAGACACCAACTAAGTTTTAAAACTACCAGGTGGATAGACATTTTCCCAAAATGGAAATGTAGATGGCCAACAGGCACATGAAAAGATACTCAACATTGCTAATCATCAGGGAAATGCAAACCAACCCACAACAAGCTATTACCTCACACCAGAATGACTATCATCCAAAAGAACACAAATAACAAACGCTGGCAAGGATGTGGAAAAAAGGAAGCCCTTGTACACTGTTGGTGAGAATGTAAATTGGTGCAGCCACTGTAGAAGACAGTACAGAGGTTTCTCAAAATACTAAAAATGGAACTACCACATGAACCAGCAATTCCACTCCTGGGGAAATATCTGGGAAAAAAAAAAAAAAAATGAAAACACTAATTCAAAAAGATACATGCACTCCAATGTTCATAGCAGCATTATTTAAAATTGCAAGATAGGGACTCAACCTAAGTGTCTATCAACAGAAGAATGGAGGGAGTTCCCTGGCAGTCCAGTGGTTATGACTGAGCTTTCACTCCTATGGCCCTGGGTTCAATCCCTGATCAGGGAACTAAGATCCTGTAAGTCAAGAGGTGCAGCCAAAAAAAGAAAAAAAGAAAGAAATATTTATTTTTAAAAAACAGATGAATGGGTAAAGAATATGTGTGTTTGTGAGTATATATGTATAATGAAAAACTACTCAGCCATAAAAAAAAAGAATAAAATGTTGCCATTTGCAGTAACATGGATACACTTAGAGGGCATTAATTCTAAGTGAAATAGGTCAGACAGACAAAGACAAACACTGTGTGACATTACTTACATGTGGAATCTAAAAAAAGCAACAAAGTAATGAATATAACAAAAAAAAAAAAGGCAGATTCACAGATACAGAGAACAAACTAGTGATTATGGGAAGGGCAATGCAGGGATGGACAGCTAGGAGGCACAAACTACTGGGTGTAAGATAGGCATAAGGATATAGTGTACAACACAAGAAATATAACCGATATTTTATAATAACTGCAAATGGAAAGTAGTAACCTTTAGAAAGTATGTAAATTTTTTTAAAAATTAAAAAAAACTACTAGAACCAACAAGGCCCTACTGTATACCACAGAAAACTCTATGCAATATTCTGTGATAACCTATATAGGAAAGGACTCTTAAAAGAAGAATGAATTATGTACACATATAACTGAATCACTTAGCTATGTACTAATACAACATTGTAAATCAACTATACTTCAACAATTTTTTTTTAAAAAACTACTAGGTAGAATCACATGAAACAGCTGATAATCAACTGTTTCTTACTGACAAAAATCATAACTTTATTTCATTCAATCTAAAAATTGGAACAACCATAAAGGAAGCTGGAAAGCTGAGGCAAGGTTAACAAAAGAGGCAATGTGAATGGAATCTGTATAGACAGAAAAGGGGAGAGAAAATTTCCAACATGTAACTAACAGCCATGATGAGACTCTAGTTTCCAAACTAACACTGCAGCTGGGGGTCATATTCCTAATGGAAATAATAGCCACAAAGGAAGAGACATTGAACACCAAACTGAAAAAAAATTTAGCTCTGGGGAGGCGAGAGGGATTGGGAATAGCCAAGAAACTTTTGCTTGTAGTTTTAATTTTTACAAGAATTTAAGCACACAATACCTGTGTAAG